CTGGTCTAGCGTAAGTGACTTAGCCCAGTCCGTCATACGTCGTCCGTACCCGGCCTTCACAACTACACCATCTAGCCATTTGGCTGCTTTACCCTCAAGGTAAGATGCAACAGTAACCACTTCATCCTCCAGCAAGGTTCTCTTTGCCTTCACCCAAACCGGGACTGTTCTCAACCAAGTGTTGAGTTCCTCGTCCTTTCTCTCGCATGAGAAGGCAAGAGGCGGTTTCATTGGGGTCTTAGGAAACCATTGACCATGCGGCTGTCCCTGTTGAGGAACAAGTTGTTGCGGTGGTGTACCTCCCACCGCTGGACCCGAAGAAGAAGATGCAACATTCTGTGCGGCTGTTGCAGAAGTGCCACTTGGCTGTGTGCCAGCTTGTACCGGAAAGGGACCTGACATCGCCGTTAACGGCAACGGCGACTGTGCTGGTGGCCTATATCCTGGCCTGGTCAGAACGTCCAGGATCTGGTCCAAAGTGTTTTGCATGAAGTCCAACCTGCTGTCAACGTGCGCATGCAACGACAGCATGTTGTTCTTCAACACTTTCATTGGCTCAGTTAATCCTGACTCATCCAATCCTTCTAACTCAGCTTTGTCAGTCTCTAACGTATCAAGCCTGGCTGCTCTATTTTTAATCTCCTTTTCTCTATCGGTTGCTTTCTTCAGGTCCCTCTCTAACTGTTCACGGATCCTTTCGACCTGTTAGAGCTTCCTGAGCTCCCTTTCGCGAGGAGTCAATGGGTTGTACTGCGAGCCCACCATTTGACTTGTAGACTGCCTAGAACCTAACGAACTGGAAGTACCCGTGGACCCTGTTGGCATTCCCAACTGCGGTCCAAACGAGGACACAACAGAAGATGTGGCAGAGGATGCTGCTGCAGAAGACATGGCTGCTGCCCTGGCTGCTGCTGCAGCCTGTTCCCTAGCTGCAACGTTTGCTACCTCTCTCGATGCTGCGAGAGCACGAGCTCTGCGTTCGGCACGAATGCGTCTTTCGTCTTCCAGTTGTAGGGCCTGGACGTGTTAGTCTAGAATCGTCAACTCTCTCCTCATCGACGTCTGACCCGTTCATGAATTAGGCAAACATTATCTGCACTAGAACCCCCTGTTGGAATCCTACCGCAGCATGTGTCTGAAAGGCACCTAATTTTCTAAAAATAGTTGTGTCTGGCAGGTTCCCTACTGTACCGATCACGTGGCAATCTACAACATTCACAACAGATTGTCAACATAGTCTAGATGTACCCTGATTGGTTCTCTTACAACAACATTAGACAAAACTGACTATGGTAGTATACAACAGTTCTAATCTAATCTGTCTGTGAGGTGTTAGCAGTCTGTCCACCAACTAATCAAAGATACAAAAAGACCATGTTGCAGATGTATGATGAGTGGATATGGTTGTGTATACAGTTGAGCACCAATTGGTACCTACCGTCCCCTCAATCCAACATATCGGACAGCATCAATGAGCAAGTGGTGTCTTCGTGTGTTTGTCGGCCCACCCCTGTGCCCAAGTTGTTACCGAGCAAGCCAGCCCAACCACTCTTATTTACCCTCGTACGGCGACGAGCCTTCCTGTCCATGTGATCTGGCTGATCAGGAGGAATTTATAGAGCGCCCCCATCTCTTCAGGAATTATTTAACGTCGCAGTCAGGACGACGATCACAGCCAGATTCACAATGAACTCCCAACCAGAAATTTTTATAGACGGTCAGGTAAGCGTCTGTCATGGGCTGGCACACCCGGCAGGACTTCTATTCAGCGCAGCAAGTGCCAAAATGGACAGCAGCCATCGCATGCGTGACCTACTCCCATTGGGTTGGCATGGTGACCGTGACCCAGTGCTTCGACCAGGGCCCTTCAGAGGCACCGCCCTTACTCCTTCCAGATGCTTCCGGGAAGATTGTCGTCTCTCAAGGTAGCGCGCTCACGACACCTCACCAAAAGAGAGGACTCTCAAGTTGGACTCACTYCCTYDHGRTAAGAAGAGATTGAGAGAGTAGATAAGGTAAGGGAACAACGTACCTGGAGATAGCTGCCCCCAACCACAGATTTCTCACCAATTGAGCTGAGTGTGCATTTGATGACCGGTCCTTGGCCTCGGTACCACCCACAACCCAATGCAGTGCCACCTCAGCCGAATGCCATATCAGCATGCTCTCATCACCAATCATACATTCCGCCTGTCACCACGGCATACACTGCCGTCTTAGCCTTCCGGCGCACCCCTCTCTACACAGGGCGTGCGCCTATCAATGGCCTGACATCACAAGTACCAACTGCGAAGAAGCATCATCAACGCACCAAGTCTGTATAACGCCAGCGTGCCAGAGGTAAGTGGCGAATCATACCGGCTCTGATACCAAATTGCAAGGAACATGAATGTGGACGAAGCACAGCAATCCAGAATGCAAAATCACACTGAAGTCCAAGTAGTCAAAGCCAGAGCAGATAGCACAATGGAACCGAGTAACCATCCG